TGCCATACAAACTATGTTAACAACAGAATACATTCTTTTTATCATCTGGGCAATTCTTTATCACTGTACTCTAAACCAGGTGATCTGAACTACAGCATTATTTGTTGTCAATCTTCTGTATGTTTATATATTTGCTGAACAACATAAGGCCACAATTTAACTAACAATAGTTGTTCTTTATTAAGCACATTTGTAGGGCACTCATTCAAAGCAATTCTGGTGGAGTATTTTAAAAGGACTGTGTTCCTAAGCTTTGTTTTTATCAAGTCTAAATAGGCTGATTCAACCAATCTATTAATATACATAATTATTACAGAATATGATATTCTGCATTCAATTCTTTGTTTTTATTTACTTTTAAAAAATCTATTTGAAGACTCATTTTTATTAATGACTAAATTTTTAGCAACAGTTTTGTAACTATTCTGATTTTCTTTTAATTTGTACTGGGCCTAGAAAAAGGCCTAGAATATTTTTTTAATACTATGGTTGGTCACGCAGTCAGACAGATGTTTAGGCTGAATTTGGCATTTTTAATCCACCCACCAAGTTCTTCCCAAAGACCTGGGATAGGCAGATGTTGTTGTTTGATGGTGTTAAGAGTATGATTGCAGGATGTAAGCTGTTCCAAATAAAGCTGACTTTTGTTGTTTTTGTCCATCATTATTATTTTTGTTGGTCATACTATTATTACTATTATTTGAAAATTACCAGAGTGTAGCTGTGTCATTGGTATGAGTCTAACATAGTGCTGGAAAAAAGGAGAGTAATATTATAGCTTCATATAAGGGAAATATTCTGCATGATCTAAAATATTAAATGGCCAAAAACTCACTGTGAAACAGTATTGCCATGATATAAAACCTGTATGATCACATCTTGCTGCCATGACCCATAAAAAGACCATGTTGATTACAGCTAGGTTCTGTATGAGAAACAAAGTGGGTAAGAAAACTATTCTGGAAACACCAGGAGTTAACAGTACAACTGTATTTCCTATGTTAGGAACAACCTTGTAAGGTCAACTTAAATATACAATATTTACATATATTACAATCTTGAGGGCATTTATGAAGGCCTAAAATATGGGAATTTTTTACCAAATACTTGTAGAATACCCTTCAACAAATATGTGTATTGGGGGGGGGGGATGAATATACATGTGTGTATGCCTCCATACTTTTAAAACAGGCCTCAAAATCTGAATATTTTAGTGCACTTTTAAATTAAAGGTTGCCAACTTTTATTATCAGACTTTTTGCTATCGCATTTAATTATTAATGCTGCTGTTTTAGTCAATGATATTTTGTACTATATCACTCTATACTTTCAATTTATAAAGTATGTTGAGAAGGCTTTGCCACAAGACAAGAGATATCAAACACCTACATTAAATAAAAAATAAATCCATAAATGCTGTACTAAATTCCATTTGTTATTTGTTCTATTAAGTTAAGCAATAGTCTTTGTGATGTGACAATTCCCTTCTGCCAAAATAGCCATTCATCATGTAAGCTCATTCTGTTCCTCACAGGGGCCTGCTTTCTTTCACTTCCTATTTTCTCAATACTGTACAGTAAACAAGTTCAAACCAGAGATATGCAAAATGACTTTCTAAATGTACATGGAGATATATTTAACAAACATTCAACTGTAAATTACTTTGTGTGCACATTAAATACGGGCAAGGGGAACCTTTCTAAGTTCTTTTTTTAATCACAGGGCACCATTACAACTGTCATCACATTTCACTATCTAAATAAATATCTGTTAGAATAGCTGGAAAAAAATATAGAATTTGGGGGGATATTTGGACCTTCCAGAGACAAGGTTCTTCCATTTCTAGCTCTGGGATGGGGTGACACTACCCCACACTAACTCGGTCTGCAATCTGGGGGTCCTCTGAGATTTAACTCCTTGTTAAAGAGCAGGTGGGAGCTGTGGCCACTACCGGGCCTTGAGCCTTTCAGAACCAAGCTGCAGAAGTGGTGAGTGAATGCATATGTGCACACTCCATTTGTGTGAGTGGTGGGTGTACGTGCCCACCATTCTCACAAATGGATCTATACATGCATGCTTACCTACCACACACACAAAACCATCCCCTCTACCCCCTCCAACAGTCTGCAAAACCGAAAAGGTTGGGGAACTCTGAGCTAGGAGACCCTTTGCACATCTTCAGGCAGTGCACCAGTTGAACCATTCCTGAACGGGAGGCCCTGCTCATCATCACTCATGCCCTTGTAACTTCTCACTTAGCTTACTGAAAATTCTTTACATAGAGCTGCCCTTGAAGAGCATTCAGGAAATTCAACTGGTACAAAATGTGGCTGTATGGATAGTGAATTATATCGGCTACATGGCACATGTAACACCACCAGTGGTGGATTAAGGCTCACTGGTGCCCTAAGCACTGACAAATCTTGGTGCTCCCCTCCTTTGTACATATTGTACAAACGAAGCCATATTCTCAACTTTGTGGTGCCCCCTTTGGGCCTGCTGCCCTTAGCACATGCTTAGCCTACTTAACAGTTAATACACCACTGAACACCATTATTAATAATGTGAGTTGTACTGGTTGCTTGTGTGTTTCCAAGTGGTGTTCAAGGTATTGGTTGTCACCTTTAAAGTTCTATATGACTTGGGACCTTAAGAATGTCGTTTTCCAAGAGTCTGTGCTTATTCAGTTTGATCCAACTGATTGGGCATGCTGCAGCTCCTGTCAGCAAAAGAGTGTTGACTATTGAGAACTAGAAGACAGGTCTTCTGTGTTGTAACTCCTGCCTTGCGGAATATTATCCCCTGGGAGTGTAAAATGGCCCCAACCCTGTTGGCTTTTTGCAATGCTTTAAAACTTGACTACATGCTCGAGCTTGGAGCTCAGAATGTGTTAAGGGCCCTGTTTCTTGGCTATATTGTTAGCTGATTAATTATCTTACTGCTGTCTGAATTTATTTTCCAGATATTTTTACTTTTTAAAAATGTTTTACAATTTTAGAATTGTAAGCCACCCAGAGCGACTTGGTTGAGTTGTACAGATACAGAAATCAACAGATAACTAAATAAAGAAAATAAAGAAAACATAGGCGAATGTGCTCTATATAGGGCTATCCTTGAAGAGTATTTGGAAGCTACAGCTAGAGCAGAATGCCACCATGCCGACAGTTCTAATGGCTCCTAGGATGGCCCATGTAATACCACTGTTGTGTGAGCTACACTGGTTACCAGTCTGCTTCCAGATTCAATTCAAGTTGTTAATTATCATTAAAGCCCTTTTGTCACATGAGTCCACAATGAGAAATTTTCTCACCCCAATGGGATTGGCTCACCCCACTCGTTTCAAGGGGCATGCCGAAGACCTCATTGGTCAAGGAATTCTGGCTGGTGGGTCCAACAAAAGGGCCTTTTGCTGTGACTTCCACCCTCTGGAACATCGCATCCCTACCTTCTTAGCCTTTCATAAGAACCTCAAAACCTGGCTCTACTGATTGGCTTGGAGCCCCAATGGGGGTGTTCCATGTTGGAGGTGGTTACTGGACTAAGAAAAAAAATCCAACCTCCACCCAGCAGTATTCTAGTTTTTTTACTTGTTTAATCTCTGTTCATTTTAATACCATAAAGTTTAAATATTTTGTATCTTTGTTTTTATTTTTGTAAGTTACCCAGTTGCCTTGACAGTGAAATAGGCACTAGATAAATTTAATAAATAAAATAAAATAAATACTTATTGTAAGTAGTGCCACAAGCCTTATCCAGCAAAAGAGACTGAAATTAAAATCTAAGAAATCTAAGAGGCGTTGAAAGTTGCTATATTACATTGTAATACATTTCAGAAGACAACAATTGAAATTGAAGTTAAAATGCCTAGCCAGGCACACTGAACCCATGGAAAAAGTGAAAAACTGTTAATAAATTAAAACTGATGAAATTTCTTAAATATTTTGATGTTTCAAAATTTCACATTTAAAATGTTAGTAACATATTAAAATAGTAGGTTAGTGCTTTAGTACTTAAACACTAAAGACTTTAAAGTCCTTTATCAAACAAGACAAGCTGCTTTTTCAGATCTTAATACTATCTAATGTTTCATTTCTATGTTTCATTTTCTGATTCAGTAATAGCACTTTAGTTTTTCTTAATAGAAGTTCCTTTTGGGTGTCTATAATTTTAGCCGTAAAGCCATATAATTAATCTGGTAAACGACACAATAAAGACTATGCATTCAACCGTGGGTTATCAATGACATAGATGATCACATTCTTTTGGAGCATGTTAAGCAACAGAGAAAATGCTCTCTATGGTAGAATTTTATTTTCATACAGGGTTTTTGAATGTTGGCTTAATTCATAACCTTTTACCGACTGATTGATATTCCCTCTTCTAGGAATCTCTTACTGTACTTGCGAACATAAGTATGTACAGTAAGCAAAACATTTTGAAGTTTTGTCTTAAATTAAACCCAGTGAATCCTATCGGCTCTAGCACCCATCAAGCAATAGGAAGCTAGTATTTAAATTAGCCGAATTCAACCTATTGTAAACGAGATCGGGTTTTCAAGCCACCGTCTTCCTCTTTCTCTGTGCAAGGGTGGAGTGTTTTGAGGAAAAATTATTGCGCATAAAGTACAGCCTCGGTCGCAAAACGTTGCGACTCCAAGTCAGGCCTTCTTCGAATGCGTCCGTACCGCGGATCGCTTTGGAAAGGAGAGTCTGATGCTGTCACTGCGTTCCCCCCATTTTCCAACCGCACTATCGCTACGCCAATATTCCGGATAGAGGGTGCGAGATTCCAGATAATTCGGGTGTGACTTGCCTGCCCACAATTTGGGAGTGGCTTCCAAATGCCGGAGTGCAGAGCTTCCACCGTGCCTTTCTCTTTCGAAACCTGGAGCCTAAATATAATCATCGACCCGCCCGGAGAAGGAAAGGACCGAGGGACCCGAGGCAGTTTCGGGGCCGTCGCCGCCGTCCCTTCCCCCGTCAAGGAAAGGCGCCTCTTACCCGCCACATTTAACCGACCGCCTAAGAACCAGCGGATCCGGCCCTGCGCGAAATCCCACTCGCAGTCGGTGTGGTGCGGGGTGTCCCATTGCAGCGTCTCCCGTGCCAGAGCCCCCCAGAAAGGGCCGGGCTCCCGGTTTGCCCGCTCGCATAGCTGCCGGTAGTTTCCCTTCAGGGAGGGAGCGCGCGGTTCACCTCGCCCCCCGCGATCGCTGCTGTTACGGCGGGCAAAAGAGAGGGGAGCCCAGGGGGTGCTTAGGTAGCTGTGCCTCCAGAGCTGCTGCCTGCCTACGGCGCCCCGCAGGTGGCTCAAGGCGGCGATTGCCATGGGCGCTTGGGTCCACCGCCAAAGACCGGAGAGGGGGGGAGCCGAGGGCGGGTAAAACGCCGCCAGCGAAGAGTCACGGGGGAACGGCCCGAGCCTCAAGGAGGCACCAGGCAGCTGTGCCAAGGGGGCCCTTGCGCGCCGCCTCTGCTTCGCATTACGCCTTTTCCTTCCCTTCTCTCCTCCCCCGGTGTCCGCCCGCGTTTGGAGGAGTTCCTCGCAGAAATCTCCAGCTTTGATAACGAGGAAGAAACTTCTAAGAAGCTGACCAAACAAACGTTGGTGCCGCTGAGGCTCAGGGCAGCATGAAGCTTCATAACCCCGTAGGAGGACGATCCCCCTCCCTCCCAGATAACTTGGAAATGTCAATTAAGGTGATTCGAGGCTAACATATCCACTGAGGAAGTCCAAGAGTAGTAAATGGTGCCAAGCGCGTGCACGTGGTTGTGGTTTATAGAGGACATAACAGCCACGCGGTGGGAATCGTGAGTTGGGGGAGCTACCTCCGAAAAGCCCCCTTCCTCTTACCCAGGATATTAGAAAATTACTGTGGACAATTTTCCAGTTTTAACGAGCTAAAATATAACTAATTTAAAACACACACACAATCAGTTACACTCATCATCAGTTAGACCAGTGGCCCGCAATCTTTTGGGCACCAGGGACTGGTTCTGTGGAGAGAGGTTTTTTCACAGACCAGAGGGGTGTGTGGTTTCATGTGCTACCTGCATCCCGCCGATGGGGCTTCACTCGTTTGTGCCAACCGGTTTCTGACATGCCACAGCCAGTCCATGGGTCAGTGGTTGGGGACTTCTGAGTTAGACAATACTTCTGTTTTCTTTTCCCCTTTTCTTGAATGTCCGTCCCCTAGTATAAATTAATATCAGTGTATTTCAAATTGGGTCTGCATTGCTTTGTGTTTACAATTCTAATCACCTGATGTTATTCTCACATACTCTGGTTCAGGTTAGTTGTTCCACATGTACTTGTTCCGCAGTAGAGTACAGATAGTCTTTATTGACTGACTGCTTCATTCGGTGACTGACTGAAGTTAGAACAGTTGCATGAAGTAGATCTATAACCTGTACTCAAAATTGCATCCATCATAGCATCCAGGGGTGGGATTCAAATTTTGTAACAACCGGTTTGTAGGCGTGGCTAGGTGGGCATGGCCATATGACTCGGTGGGTGTGCCTTTTTTTTTTTTTGGCAGCAACCCCCCCCCCCCCGTTTTTTGGCCCTCCTGGGCCTCAGGGAAGCCTCCTGGGGGGGTGTTTTTGCTCCCAGAAGGCTTCCCTGGGGCTAAGGAAGGAAGAAAATGGAGCATAAGGGGGACATGCAGCACCCCTCTGTGTTCCATTTTGGGGCCTTCTGGGCCTCAGGAGCCTCCTGGGCGAAGCAGTAAATAAGCAAGGGGAATCCCAGCACAGTTGATCATAGAAACAGCTGATCGTTGGGAGGGGGAAAATACCTTAAAGAGTGAGTGGGCGGGGAAGAACGCAGTCAGCGATGTCGGGCATGCACTCAATGTTGCGCATGTGCGATAAGGACTGACTGGGAGGGGAAAGGAGGGGATGGGGCTAGGCAGAGGCATGATTTGCCAGTTCTCCAAACTCTGCAGAATCTTAACAACTGGTTCTATAGAACCGGTCCAAACCGGTAGAATACCACCCCGATAGCATCCATATGGTCATGTGATCATGATTTAGGCACTTCAAAACGGGGCACATTTATGATGGTTATGGCATCCCATGGTCATCTGAGAGCTATTTGCAATCTTTGCAGACAGGTTCCAACAAGCAAAGTCAATAGCAATAGCAGTAGCACTTAGAGTTATAGATTACTCCACAGTGCTTTACTCTCTGTACAGTTTACAAAGTCATCATATTGCCCCCAACGATCTGGATCCTTTTTTTTACTGACTTCAGAAGGATGGAAGGCTAAGTGAACCTTGGACCCATCAGGATCAAACTCCAGAATATGGGCAGAATTAGCATGCAATACTGCATTTAACCACTGCACCACCAGTGGTTAGATGTTAATGAGGAAGCTGTCAGGAAGCTGTCATGTGTTATTGTATTTAGTAATCTGCAGTGATTCACTTTACAAGTGCAATTAATGCCCTAAGTCCAATGTGATCATGTCATATTTACATAACTTAACAACCATGTTGCTTAGCAACAATTGCTAGTCCCAATTGTGGTCAGTAAGTAAAGATCACCTGTATTCCACCTTTGTAAATGACAGGATTACCATGCTTTGTTTCTTGCTGCACTAGGCAAAGGGTATGTTCTCATTAAAGAATATATATCCAGTGATAGATTTCCTGTCAGATTTATCTCCAGCCCAATCAGAATTTGTATACCAAATACATTTTGATTATTAGTTATAGGTTGTTTTAAATTAAAGTCCATAGCATAGTTTCTTTTAAATATGCTTATTTTTTTTACTGCTGTCCAGTCAGCCTATGTTGGCTCCCTGCTCTTCTGGCTAGCAGTCCTATTTCATTGAATCTTTATGCTTGCATATTTAATACTGGCCCAAAAACTTCATTATAATCCTCACTGCATTTTTAATGCAGACCTTTGCTGCTAACTTAGCTTTCTGAAATTCCATACAATGCATCCTTGAACATTGTGCTTTGTTTTCAAAAACACTTCCAGGTTCTCTCCCCACCCTTTGGTAATTTCACTATAATCCATGTTTTATTTTTATGTAAGGATTCAATTTCTTCCTATGCAGTTTCTATCCATTTATGTGCCTCAGTTGTTACTGGTCCTTGTACTTATTTCCATGAATTAGAATCAGGCACATCCTATAATATACTGGTGCAAACCAGCCTATTATAATATATATCAGGCATATCTTTGAGATATTCTTAATTCTGATTCTCTGTGTTAGCAGACTTCTGAATTTGATGTTATTCCTCCTTTCACAAGGATCTGGAATTGTCAGAAATTGTTGTTTAATCATTTCTCAGACCCATTTTCAGTAATTTGCAATGTCATAATTATTGTTGTAAAACTAGGCCGGTTTGCATAAGTATGTAAATATTGCAGCTTGTTTTGCATTATCCTTTCTTGTCATAAAAATGAGCAGCGTTGCATATGTTTACTTTTCCAGTTTTTAAGTCTAAATCTTTAGCCTTTTGTGCCTATTTAATAACCCAGCATTATTCCTACTTGAGATTGACAATTTAGTTTTTCCTTCTTTTTCTTTAGGGAGATATACTGTATAAGTTTTGCATCCAAATAACTTTTCCATTTTCTCCCATTCCATAACTTAGATGGGGCTTTATCTGTATCTTTTTGTTTATGAACAGTCTTGCAAATAAGTATGTGTTGCTTCTCCTCAAAGATTGTTTGGCAGTCTTGCATCAAGCAAGAGATATCTTATCATAATTAGCAAACTTTGATTTATTTATTTTTTTGCAATCTCATTTTGCTCAAGACTAAATCCTATTTTTTATGTTTTATGTCATTATTGTTCGAGTATTTTTCAAATTCCTGGTTGCAATATTCTTCCATATTATCAGACTGTACTGTAATTATTTCTTTTTGTTCAACTTATTTTCTACATGACACCAAACAATTTGAATTTCTCAAATACTTCACTCTTACTGATTAAGAGATAAGTGCAAATATACTTTGAATGACAGTCTAGGAAAATTATAAAGTAGTTTTTACTGTCCTTTGATTTTTGTATCAAGGGACCACAATAATTTCATCATAAATGTGAAAACACCAGTTCAAATGCCTGGTTAGATTCTTTGAATTCTAGCACAAAAACAATATTTTTTTGTGTTTTTGCCTTTAAATAACAACATATTTTAATTCTCTTTGTTTCTTGCAAGGTCTTAACATTAACTCCATTTGTTAAGTCATTGTCTTTTATTTTCTTAATTACAGAGTAATCTCTGTGACCAAATCTTCAAATCTTGGATGGGGAGGAACTATCTCCCACTCAATCCTACCAAGAATGAATGGCTATGGTGATTGGGCCAGTCAGATCTGAGGAAATTCCATTTTTTGACCTTGGATGGGGTAGCTTTATACCCTTCAAGGTAGGTAGATACATCAAGGTAGGTAAGGTAGGTAAGATTACTGTACACAGTTTACATAGGTGTGCCTTTGCAGACCTCCTGGAAACTTCATGTGGTCCTGAATACAGCAATGTGAACAGCAATGGACATGACTTGTTATGCCCATGTAACATTTCTCTTCCAAGAACTGTACTGGTTGCTGGTTCATCATATTTGCCATCTTTTATCTTTATACTTGTATGATTTATTAATTTTAGTGTAATATTTTTGTTGTGAACCATTCAGAATCATTCAATTATGGTTGGTCACACCCAGCTAGATATTTAGACTGGATCTGGCATTTCTGTTCTCTTACCAAGTCCTTCCTAATGACCTGGGATTGTCGGAAGGTTTAATAATATTTAGGTTATTGTTACAGGATATGAACTGTTCCAAGTAAAGCTGCGTTTTGCAATTGACTGATGGTGATGTTGTCAATGCCGATGATGTTCAAGTGGTGTTCCAAAAGTTTTGGAATTGCACTCAAGGTGCTTATTACTTTTGCTTCATTTTGCCATAGTTGTTCTACTTCTATTTGCAGGTCTTTATATTTTCTTGTTTTCTCCAATTAACAATCGGATAGTAATTGTTACTTGGGTGCATTGTGTGGCAGACGTTTGTCTGTCTTCTCATTCTGGCTTTGTATGCATTTGTCTTAAGACATGGTATTGTGCAGCCAGAATGTGCCCCTTCTTTCTTCAACTTTCCTGTTCTTAGTCATTGCAAGGTCTTGTTGTTATCTGCTTGGCCTGCTTTTAAAAAAATGTACTGGCTTATCTTTTGTATTGCCAAGTCTTATTTTGTCTTTCTTGGAGGCCTGTTGGATCTCTCCTGTACTCAGTAAGCCTTCATGGTGTACTTCAGTGCATTTTTTCACAGTTCTTGAGATAGTCTTCCAAAGCCCTTTTTTCTTCTTCAACTGACTAGTGTACTTACAACCTTCCATACCCATCTATTTTCCTTGGTAAATATTGTCTGTCAACATTGCTGCACGTGTAAAGTGTATGATTCATTCTCATTGTTTTTCTGATCTTCCTATCCAAGGCTTTTAATTCTCTTTG